ACAGAAAGCAAGCGCGATCCTAAATTACATCTATCCTGATTTCCACTGCTGGGTAATTAACCTTACCGTGCCGGGACAATCGGTGATGATCCTAAGCAGAAGGGCTAAAATTGAATCTTACCCGTTTTATATTGCTAACTTGTAGCCAAGAAATAGAGAGAAGTACATACTGAGAATTAGGAGAGAAATGGGTAATGAGGGAGCGTCAGTCGACAGACCAACAAGAGCCTCTTTTCTACACGCGTTACCCATTGGCTATCCGGTTAGGTGACCGATCGACTTCCGTTAACAGCAGTCAATTGTCAAGAGGGAACAGACGCCAAATGCTGCATTTCTGGCTGCGGTGACGTCGACGACGGTGACGGCAAGTAAAACTAAACCATCGGACGTCCTTTCCCATTTTTCTTGGCGGGTTACTATTTCCTACGTGTGGTGGAGGGAAGATCCTCCTCTGCCTTTGCTGGCGTTAGTAGAAGCTTAATCAGCAAAACCACACCATTTGGGTCCCTTGGTTGAGATTGGATTGCGTTTACAAAAAAGGTGAGCCACATTAAGTTTCGTGAGTTGTGCCAACGGATGGAACCACCTCCACGACACTAGTTGATAAATGGAATCCTAACAGGTGTGTGATATGCCCTCCAGAAAGCCACTTTACCCCTCTACCAATGGCTGTCGATGCATTTATGCATTAGTTTAAGGGAATTTACAACTCTGCAGACAGTTTGGATGCATACTTTGTGTACCCGAAACTTGTTTATCCTACAGCTCAAAGTTCAAAACGCTTTTATTTTTAGTCAAATACATTTCATGTATTTGCAAAAATTTGTGCTAATAATTTTTATTATTAGAAAAATTTTTGAATACTTGAATTGAATTTACCCACCTGTATGGGCGCACTTTATTTCGCTCTTCTGACTGCGTGTGTAATAGAAGACTTGCCCTCGCATAATTAAGCTTTTTTGGAATAGCTTCCGAGACGAAAGAGTACGCAAGACTTGGTTTGAGAATGAGTAAAGCTATTTACGTTTATTTTTTTAAAAGCTGCGATCCGTTAGTAGAAATTTAAAGGAGTTCAAAGTGGACCTGGAATGCGCATTGAAACAAATTAATTGTGTTTTGAATAACATTGACTCGACCTCAACCAGCTCCGTGTCGATGAAATGAAGGAGTGCTTGAGATTAACTTTTCAAAGGGATACAGCTGCTCATTTTTAAGGATATAATTGCATACCTGTGATTCGCATTGAATTGAAAGAGTACTTGAGACTTACTTTTGAAAGGGGTACAGCTGCTTACTTTTATTTTGACACAGCTTAGATCATTTCGTCCAAATTATGAGGATATTACGGCGGTCCTATTAGATGCGTTATAATAAATTGCCAGTGTTGAAGTCAATCGCCTGTTGCAGTTGTTGCAGTACGGGACTGTTTACAATTCCTGATGATTCCTCGCTTCGCTGAGAAGTTGACAAGCTGGCTGGGAGAGTTGGTTTCGTGGTGCAAAGTTTCTCCACCAATGTGAGTGGGCGAACTCCGTGTCTGAGCTGGTTGATTATCCATTCAGTAAACTTGGAGATTAGTTGCGTTCTCCTCGCCATCTTCGCCCACTATGTGGTAGCGATAAAAGAACTCGTTGACAAGTGTCTTCCTTTTGGTCAGTGACGAGTTGGTTAAAGGTAACACAGTATTCAACCAACGTGGTGTTTAGGTTACCACGATCTCTACGGTAAGCGAGAAATGGTAATGAAAGTTGGCGTGCAGAGTCATTGTAAGACCCCTTTTAAAGTTCATGATATACTTAAGGGGAAGTAGTTCCAGTGGCACTGCCACCAAAGTAATAGGTTTGCCACTTCTCTCTTTCATTTTGAATTCGTTCTCATGGATCAAGTAGTCAGATTCTAAGAAGACCTACTTTCTATCAGTCCTTCCATTGTGAATGCCTATCATTAGTTATTGTTCATCAATAACAAGCAACCGAGATGGACCAGTGTAGACAGAAAGCAAGCGCGATCCTAAATTACATCTATCCTGATTTCCACTGCTGGGTAATTAACCTTACCGTGCCGGGACAATCGGTGATGATCCTAAGCAGAAGGGCTAAAATTGAATCTTACCCGTTTTATATTGCTAACTTGTAGCCAAGAAATAGAGAGAAGTACATACTGAGAATTAGGAGAGAAATGGGTAATGAGGGAGCGTCAGTCGACAGACCAACAAGAGCCTCTTTTCTACACGCGTTACCCATTGGCTATCCGGTTAGGTGACCGATCGACTTCCGTTAACAGCAGTCAATTGTCAAGAGGGAACAGACGCCAAATGCTGCATTTCTGGCTGCGGTGACGTCGACGACGGTGACGGCAAGTAAAACTAAACCATCGGACGTCCTTTCCCATTTTTCTTGGCGGGTTACTATTTCCTACGTGTGGTGGAGGGAAGATCCTCCTCTGCCTTTGCTGGCGTTAGTAGAAGCTTAATCAGCAAAACCACACCATTTGGGTCCCTTGGTTGAGATTGGATTGCGTTTACAAAAAAGGTGAGCCACATTAAGTTTCGTGAGTTGTGCCAACGGATGGAACCACCTCCACGACACTAGTTGATAAATGGAATCCTAACAGGTGTGTGATATGCCCTCCAGAAAGCCACTTTACCCCTCTACCAATGGCTGTCGATGCATTTATGCATTAGTTTAAGGGAATTTACAACTCTGCAGACAGTTTGGATGCATACTTTGTGTACCCGAAACTTGTTTATCCTACAGCTCAAAGTTCAAAACGCTTTTATTTTTAGTCAAATACATTTCATGTATTTGCAAAAATTTGTGCTAATAATTTTTATTATTAGAAAAATTTTTGAATACTTGAATTGAATTTACCCACCTGTATGGGCGCACTTTATTTCGCTCTTCTGACTGCGTGTGTAATAGAAGACTTGCCCTCGCATAATTAAGCTTTTTTGGAATAGCTTCCGAGACGAAAGAGTACGCAAGACTTGGTTTGAGAATGAGTAAAGCTATTTACGTTTATTTTTTTAAAAGCTGCGATCCGTTAGTAGAAATTTAAAGGAGTTCAAAGTGGACCTGGAATGCGCATTGAAACAAATTAATTGTGTTTTGAATAACATTGACTCGACCTCAACCAGCTCCGTGTCGATGAAATGAAGGAGTGCTTGAGATTAACTTTTCAAAGGGATACAGCTGCTCATTTTTAAGGATATAATTGCATACCTGTGATTCGCATTGAATTGAAAGAGTACTTGAGACTTACTTTTGAAAGGGGTACAGCTGCTTACTTTTATTTTGACACAGCTTAGATCATTTCGTCCAAATTATGAGGATATTACGGCGGTCCTATTAGATGCGTTATAATAAATTGCCAGTGTTGAAGTCAATCGCCTGTTGCAGTTGTTGCAGTACGGGACTGTTTACAATTCCTGATGATTCCTCGCTTCGCTGAGAAGTTGACAAGCTGGCTGGGAGAGTTGGTTTCGTGGTGCAAAGTTTCTCCACCAATGTGAGTGGGCGAACTCCGTGTCTGAGCTGGTTGATTATCCATTCAGTAAACTTGGAGATTAGTTGCGTTCTCCTCGCCATCTTCGCCCACTATGTGGTAGCGATAAAAGAACTCGTTGACAAGTGTCTTCCTTTTGGTCAGTGACGAGTTGGTTAAAGGTAACACAGTATTCAACCAACGTGGTGTTTAGGTTACCACGATCTCTACGGTAAGCGAGAAATGGTAATGAAAGTTGGCGTGCAGAGTCATTGTAAGACCCCTTTTAAAGTTCATGATATACTTAAGGGGAAGTAGTTCCAGTGGCACTGCCACCAAAGTAATAGGTTTGCCACTTCTCTCTTTCATTTTGAATTCGTTCTCATGGATCAAGTAGTCAGATTCTAAGAAGACCTACTTTCTATCAGTCCTTCCATTGTGAATGCCTATCATTAGTTATTGTTCATCAATAACAAGCAACCGAGATGGACCAGTGTAGCTTCAATGCCTACTCACCTTGCAGGTGGTCTGTGAACCCCGAGTCAGCTTAAGCTGGACAAACACGAAGCGCACATTTGTAGGTTTATCAAGGTGCGATCAGTTACTACCTGGTTGTTGGCCCTCAGTGATTTAAAGGTGCTTACTATGAATCTAAATACTGAGTTAGGATGATCGCACGAGTTGATGACCTGAGAACTGGAAGAATGAATTAGAGTGGGGTGAAGGTCATGAAGTCGGTAGATGTGGAAGCGATAGCACAATGCCCTAGGCGCCATCTCCTCATATGCATGAGTATTCAAAGACATGGGGGTTAGGAGTTCATGGTTAGTTTCCACAGGTACTGGGATGTCTTTGGGGTTGAAATTTGTTGGCACAGGAGCTGGACAGTTCAATGGGAACTCAGAATTCTATCACAGAAAATAGAGACGAATGCACACAACTAACGCAGCATACCACCTGCTTTCTTTCCAAGTCTGCGAAGGCAATGCATATCACCAGGACTGTACTGATGCTGAAGTGCATTTTGGTGATCAATGTTGGCTGATGAATCTTCGCTAAATTCGAGAGTGTGGCGGGGTGGTGTTTCCTGCGTTCGTGGCGTCGCAGGCACAAGGCATATGAGAGGAAGGAAGGAAGGTGGGCGGAATTCGTTTTTTGTGTGGTCTACTTGTTTGTGCAGATGTTGGCCAGCAATAGTTTACTGCAACTGGTGGTTGTTTAGGTGCCTTTACCTAGCACCGGTGCTTATCAAATGTTGGTGCGTCTAATTTTTGTGCTCATTGGCATTTAGCCATGCAATCAACTGAATTTCTGCATTCCTTTTTTTGCTGAAAGGACAACTCTAGTGGGTCCGCCAAATACTTGCAATATTGTCTTAGCTAATTGAGAAAGGTTAGGTGTAACAGGCTTTAGTGTGGGTGTGAGTAAGTAGTAATTGTTTTTGATGGTTACGAGCGGGATCATTTGTTGGAGTGTTTATTTCAAAGTATCGTGGATCTACTGCTACCGGTGAATGAGGGATGTTGGATGTTGTTGGAGTGTGATACAGCAATTTGCGGCAAAATCCGCTTGAGTGTCTTTGGTGAAAGATAATTCTCGCCTCCGAATAAGCGTTTCCCTTTTTATTCTTCTTCCTTCTAATTCATAGTGTGTTCTGGCAAATGCACTTGTGATTAGGTGGTTTGATGGTGCTCTACGTCTTCTTGTTTTTTTGCGGATTTGATAAAAGCCTTTTTCCTCCATTCGAATTTTGTGCTGCTTTAGGCCTGGTGCGATTTTGTCAGGCAATCCTGTCAGTTTCGTCCTCTCGCCTTATTTTGTTAGTAAAGGAGGCAGGAGAGTGGACACAAAAGGCACCCCTTTGCGTGCATTTGACTGTTTAGTGCTTGCTCTCCCTGTTAACCATCGGACCTTGTGCATTTATTGTTGTCATGCTGAAAGGCTTTTTGTCATGATTGCTTCCGAAATGCTCATAAATGAGGTTCCCGGTGAATATTTAGTGTTATGGCGGTAACTTTGGAGACAACATAGGAATGGCCCAGACATGATCACTTGCACTAGTGTGGTGATGTGGTAGCCCCTGCGTAGTCTCCGCTCTGCCTCCCTCACTTAAGTCGGAGTAGTCATTAGCCTTGATTTATCATCATGATTATTATTTGTTTTGCCGTGCGACTGAGGGTTGATTGACGAGTCTCGTTGACTGGCATCGGTGCAGGCCTGATTCCTTTCCCATTTTAGTTCACTGGCAAGCAGTGAGTTTCATTTATTAATTTGCACACTTCTTGCCACCACGTTTGGTTATTTGGCTAGTTATTGGGGGTTTGGGTGGATAGACAGGCAGAGGTTGGGAGATTTGCTTCGTTTTTTGGTTCATGGACTTGCTTGCCTGCCTGGTTATTTATCTCTCCGTCTACCAACTCACCTGTCCGTCTCTCGATCTACCTGTCTAACCCACGACCCTCCATCTCCTCTCCTTTGTGCCAAGCTTCAATTACGCCAAAAGATGTGGCGTGGGAATGTTTGCGCCGTCCCGCACAGTAGAACGAGCTCGTCGAAATAACTGCATCCTTGTGAGTGTCGTCTGACTCCTTGAGGTGTTGAAAGAGGCACCTCTCTTCCTCCTCCACCTCTTTCTCTCCCTCTGAGGCGAGTGTTCCTGATGAGCATACTTCATTTTGATTACAACATTACCACTAACCGTGATGAAGTGGGACGAGGTCACTCATACACATTAGCCTACATATTACATGTTAATTTGCTTTAAGTAAATCACTGAGGTATAGGCACAAGTAGCCGTTTCACTCGACCCCCTTCCTTCCTTCCCTCCCTTCCTCTTTTTTACCCATGGTCGTAAGTTCGATTGACTTTGAGTGCTATCATGTACGTTTTTCATTTCACGGATCGTGGGGTGCGCTAGACGGTGGGGTGAGATGGGGTGGGGGAGTGTCGCTGAAAATGTCTGTCCCTAGGTATATGCCACAGTGTTATTAGACCCCCTTCAGCCCTGTCACTTTATTTTAACAAATGAAGCTAACGCCTATTTTTGAGGTCCGTCCTTAATGTGTTGCGGCGGCTATTTACTCGACGAGCTTCACAGTCATGAACAAATCTTCAAGGTTGTTTCCCTTTCCAATCCCTTTAGCCGGAGTAGTCATTAGCCTTGACTCCGTTATTATAACAAATGTTATTTGTTTTGCTTTGTGGTTTGGGGGTTCAATGACGAGTCTAGGTGACAGATATTGATGTGGATGTGATCCCATTCGCATTTTCGTTCACTCTCACGCATTGGGATTCATTTTTTTTGCTTACATATTTATACACCATTCGCCAGTCTGTTAGTTTGGTTATTTGGCCGGTAGGGGTTTGGGTGGATAGGCAGTCAAGGGTGGGGATATTTGTTCCATTCTCCGTGTATGGACTCACCTGCCAGATTATCTATCTAACTAGTGTCTTACGCGATTTGGTAAGATTGTGCACTTTCCTCCTCAGTTCGCATCACTGTTTTGCTGTGGTCACTGTGTGCATATGTGTGTGCATGCGCATTCGTTTTATCTGCTTCTATGACCCCGATCTTTGAGTCAAATAAATAGACAGCCCCAAATTTGATCGAGAATGACGCTTCTTGTCCATTATTCTGTTGGGTGATTGGCTGATTTTTTGGTGAAATAATCGCATCTTTCCGCTTTGTCAAGGCTCCACTACCCATCCACCTTTCTGCCCACCCACAACACCTTACTTCACTTGACCTCTTTCCTCCGTCTGTCACCCATTTTTCCTACCTTCAGACTGACTCGAACACCTCGTTTTGGTGAAGGTGAATTGCCGAAAACTAAAAAGGGCTTTCATTCTTCTCGAATTAGAAAGACATTTACTGTCAAGACACCAATACATGTGTTGTAGCTATTTTGAGTGGGGAAGTTTGACATGTTATCACCTCATTTGACTGTATCGATGCCTGTTCTCCTAGAACACTAGCCCGCCCATTTTGCGGAAGCCTCAGTATTCCTTCAGGTTGCAGTCAAATGGTAGGCTCACTTGAAATCGTTCGTCTTTACGAGCTCCTCGGTCAAATTCTTCGTACTGCTTTTCCACATGAGGTGTTTTCAGAACCAAACTTTTTTATCCTGAATAGCGATTGTGTCGTCACTGTTACAGTGAATGACGCACGCAACCGAAGTAAAGAATTCTTGATTCCCAATCCCTTTTGCGAATGCCCTGTTTGGGCGTAATTTCTATGAGTCAGTAAGTTTGCTTCTCAATAGCTTGTTTGTTGAATTAGCCACAATTACATTCGATCATCCTTATCAGCGAGACACTAGCTTGCAAGTTCTTCTCCAATCATGCATTTTGTCTTTTAAAGCAAACAAGTAAATGTGGCACTATCCACTTGTATGTCTGCCTCACTTTTATCTCCATACTTTCTACTCTACGTTGTGCTTGATGGTCTGGTGCTGAGAAAAGTATGATGACGGGCACCTGGCGAAATGTAAGGGAATACGATGGTTGGACATGACGTGGAGCCATCATCTTTATCTCCACTTCTTACTCTCTCTCCTTCTCCACCCACCCTCTTTTGCCTTTTTAACGGTTCGGTTCCTCAGCAAGTATTACGAGTGAGGAGGTGCGAAGTCTTGTCTTTTCCAGCTTTGTCCTAAATAGCACGGAAAAACTGCTTTGAGATTTAACTTGCAGAATTGTTAGATTCGTTGCCTTTGAA